GCCACTTTTTCCGACCACATTATGAGTATTTTAAAATAAAAATATAAATAAATAAGTATGTATAAAATGAACTGTATTTTAGGTGTCTGGTATTAATAAAGAAACATAAATATAAAACTGACTACCTATAACTGTAATAAACGAATTGGTACTATTTGAGTTATATTTAGATTTGTAATTTGAAAGAACGACAAAAATTTAATTAATAAAAAACGATAAATTAAAAGTTCAAGTTAATATTTTTGCGTTTTAATAAAAATATCTTTCCAAAAAAGTACGTATATTAAAAAAAGGAAAAACTCATAACATTTGTATCCATTTAAAAGGCAAAAAGGGTTCGGTAAAAATAAAATCGATAGCATCGTGGAGAGGGGGCCACCCCGAAGCCTTTTAAATATGAAATAATAATATTATGATTTTCGACAGTGCTACGGAGGGAGGATGGGGATGTATACGGGTTTAAAAACGCTGGGGTGTTTAGCGGTGTATAAAACAGAAGAAAGATTTGTGGGTTGGTTTAAAAATTTCGATTTCTTAACTGTAAAAACCTATAAGTTTTTCAAGTCATTCAATTTAATTTTATAGTTCTCTTTTGTTTTAAAAAGGTTTTGAATCGAACAAGTTAATATTCATAAAGATACAAAAACCACCACTACACATTTTTATACAAGGCGAAGTCATAAAAATCTGTCATGCGCAGGTTAATTCATAGTCTTTCATTCATGACTTGGGCCCGCATATTTTACGTAAAAGGTCACGGAAATTTATATTTTTTCACTCAGTACTTTTATACAGGTACGGAAGAAAAATGATTACTCTTTAAAGCAGTTAAAACACATGTAAATGGCGCCCCCTACAAAAAGGAGTCATATTGACATCAAAATCAAATTTCTCATGTCAAAAAACTCCCAGACACCAATTTTCATCCAATTATTGACGTTACTTAGACTTACTTGGATAAAACCGAAATAAGAATGAAATTTCTACACCCTGTATCTCCGAAACTAAACAATTTAGAACATATATTTATATGAACTTTTTTGCTTATTTTTATCTGCAGAAGTTTCCGGAATACAGTTCGGACCACCCTGTAGATATCTTGTTCTAAAAAAAGAAAAAAAGGAAAAATAATAGGTACAAACTAAAAATAAAAAAAATCCCTATATATTTAAATCGATACTGATGTAGAGAGAAGGAATTCCCGCAAGCTTTTTAAATATGAAATAATAATATTATGCTTTTTGAGTGCGCCACATCGGGGATCAGGGCCGTAGAGCCTTAAAAACGGTGGGGTTATTTAACGACGTGGGTTTAAAAAAAATCTCTCGTTCCCCGGGCGGCGGATTCCTTAGCATGCATGGCCGGTTCCCACTAAAAGAAAAGTAACTTAAAAAGTACAGGCTGTTTGTTTTTTTCGCCGGCCCCGTAAGGGGATTTTAATCTTGCGGGAATTCCGTTTAAAAGCTTATTATCCCGCACCGTTCCTTTCCGCCACGACGGAAAACTTTTTCCCGTCGACGAGAAAAACCGTCGGTCGCCTTTGTTTGGATATCCAGGTTTTCTGTTATGTTTTCCTTTAGGGCGTCGAGCCGGATCTGAAACTTTTTCGCCATTTTTTTAAAGCTAATAATGCTAAATTATGATAAATTTGCCGATACAGTTATAACGGGTGTTTTTTAAAAGTGTAGTATAACGTTTTTATTTTTTAAGATAAAAAAGACGAAATTTGGTATGTTAGTATAGGTATGTCATAAATAAAATGGGTACCTACCCCAGACCCCTATCCTTCAGGCACAAATCTACGCTATCGAAAGATGTGTACAGGGTGGCTCGAATTCGACGCTCATCATTGGTATTTCGGAAACCGTAAAAGATACAGGATCGGTTAAATGGAGGCAAAATCACGCAATTTGATGCTCAATAAAATACCGTATTGCATTTTTTCTGCTAGAATATTCTGGTGATGGAATTTTCTGTACGAAACGTCGGCAAATATCAAAGTGACTATATATAGTGTTTTAAGAGTGATGAAAGGATTTAATTAAATTAAGAAAAATCAGGTACGTATTTAAAAAAATTAAGTTGATGATGGTCGCCAAAAGCCGAAACGTCAGAGTCAATATTTAATCACACAGAGCTATCTTAACAAATAAAGCCAGGAAACAATAGAAAAGTAAATTGAAAGTTCCGTTTTTTTTTCGAATATATTCGGAATTTTTCAAAATGCAATACGGCATTTAAAATGAGCATCAAATTGCGCAACTTTGCCTCCATTTAACCGATCCTGTATCTCTTACGGTTTCCGAAATCCCAATGATGAGCGTCGAATTCGAGCCCCCCTGTACAATTTATCTTAGATATGAACTATCGAAAACAGGAAAGAGTCATCTTCTCCGATAGTTAAGCAGTACTAAACGCGATCAACTCAGTAACCATCAATTCGAAGTTGGCCAAAGAATGCCTAGAGAAACTGCTCTGGGTGCCTGCTCACCAAGGGATAGAAGGCAATGAAAAAGCAAATGATCTGGCTAGAAAAGGAGCGAACACCCCACTAACTGGACCAGAACCGTTCTGTTTTCCAAACTCGGGAACCAACTGAAAGCGGAACTGAAGAATCTGCAAGACTCCATCCGTAACCTGGAATGGGTGTGCTCCAACGGTCTAAGACACTCGAAAAAGTTCCTCAGAACTTACGATCGAGACAAATCAGAATAAAAGAAATTCTTTAATTTAAGTAGAAACAATCTTCGGATTTCACGGGGTTTCTAACAGGACACTGTCTCCTCAACGAACACCTCAGTAAGCTGAAGTTGAGGAACAACGGCGAATGCAGATTCCGTGGGGAAAATGGGGAAGCACTAGAATCTTATCACTGAGTGCGCCGAGACGACAACCGTACGTGCCATGAACTTTGGTACGGCTGATGTCGAGGATGGAGAGCTGTCTCAGATACTGGCTTTTGTTAAAGCCCTGAGACTGTATGATGAATTATAACTCAAGAAAGGGGAACACACAATAGATTTGTAAGGTCGCGGTGATTAACTCCCTTCCTAAACACTCTAAATCTTTTTAAAAGCATTTTTTACGAATAATTTGATACCACATACTTAGTATTTCTAGTCAAATTAAAATACTATTTTTTTTAATTGAAAATGTCAGAAGTTGTCATCTAATAAAGAAAAAAAACGAGGGTAAGTGACGTCTAAGCCTTGACCACGCCAAAATTATAATAGATTGTCATTTTCTAGCCGTCTTCGACTCCGTTTTTTTCGATCGTATTATAAAGGTGGTGCTATCTTTTAAAAGAATCCACGAACCTATCACGATTCTGTACAGAAAGTGGTGGAAACAGGGTATAACAGAAAAACACACTTGCTTTTGGTGCCCAACGTGGGGACACGTTTAGTACAATATTTTTTTTCAGCTTTTCTGATTACAAAAAAATGACTATGCTATGCGATAATTGTCGCAAGGAAAGTTAAATCTAAAACTTTTACCCTATTTTTTAAAGAAGCAACCGCCTCCTGAATTTTTTTACATTTACTAATTTGCAGCCTGAATATGTACTGGGTTTCGGACTTACCGGGTGTTTTTCAAAAATATGCATTTTTAACAAATCTCTGTAACTTTTTTGCTATGGAAAATTTTGTATTTTTATGAAAACATTTCCAAAGCACCTTTTTACGTAGAATTTAATGGTTTAAGTATATTTTTTTTAAAAATTAATTTAAGAATTATCAACAGAAAATTTATTTTTTTTATATGGGACACCCTGTATATTTTTAATTTATTGAAAAGAATTTAAAATTACCTTTCCAAAAATATAACACACTTGATATTTTGCTCGATTCCTCTTCGAGATATGGAGTAAATAAAAATTCGCCCGCTTTAAATAAGTAGGCTTTGAAGGGCATCGGCTATAATGCAAAAAATTCTAGCTGTGAGCATCAATTAAAACGAAAATAATATTTGCTATGAGAGATGCAGAATTTTATAACAATTTAAAATATATTTAACCAACATCAATACATTTAAACTATATCTAATAACAATAAAAATAAATAGCAAACCAAGACATGAGATTTTGCTACAGGTGTTCCACATATCGACCGTCTTCTGTTATGGACAGACTGGGCAGTTTTTGAACATTTCTCGCGGAATTCATTAACTCAGTGGGGGTGAAAGATACTCTCTCATAACTGCTAAGTATTTTTAATTCTTGTCTAGATTATACGGAAGAATAAGGAACATTTATTCTTCCGCAAATATTCCATAGGATTAGATCCATGGGCACTAAGTCAGGCGGCCTCGACGGCCAACGGCTGGGATCTTGGTTAGCTATTCAATTATTCTTGAAATTGGCTGCAAAAATTTGCTGATAACTTCAGCGTTCAGAGGCGGTGCGTCGTCTTGCTGGAAAAATATGTTTTCGAGTTCCATTAAGGACATATCATCAATAAGGGGTCCAAAGCCAACTAGTTAAAAGTGGCGAACTTTTAAAAATTCTGTATTTCAAAGGGGATTATAACAAAGTATCAAGTGTGCTATACTTTTGGAAAGGTAATTTTAAATTCTTTTCAGTTAATTAAAAATATAGAGGGTGTCCCAAATAAAAAATCAATTTTTCTGTTGATAACTCTTAAATTATTAATTTAAAAAAAATTATACTTAAACCATTAAATTCTACGTAAAAGGGTGTTTTGGAAATGTATTCATAGAAATACTAAATTTTCCATATCAAAAAAGTTACAGCGATTTGTAAAAAATGCACATTTTTTAAAAACACCCCGTAACTCCGAAACGGTAACAGATATTGACGTGCGGTTTTCACCATCATGTTTTTGATGAAAATTGAGCTCCAGACACCGATATTAGTTTTCGTCTATCTCCTATAGAAAAGGGTGTTTTTTTTTTAAATTTAAAAGCGACGAATTTGACCCACCCTGTACACTTTTGTTTCTGATAGTGATTAATATTCTCAACCGTAATTTTATTTTTAGCTATGGCCTACCCCGGCTTATATCCTGGCTACGTCCACGCACTGGCAGCAGCCTCCCAAGCTGCCTCCTTGGCTTCCTCCGGAGGTCATCACCATCAGCCACCCAAACGAAAACGCCGCCACAGAACGATCTTCAGCGAGGAACAGCTAGAACAGTTGGAAGCCACTTTCGAACAAACCCACTATCCGGATGTTGTGCTGAGGGAACAGCTAGCCCTTAAAGTCGATTTGAAGGAGGAAAGAGTAGAGGTAAGCGTAAATTATGAATTATAAGTATTTTAGTAGTAGATTTTTAATAGTTTTTTTATGTATTTTTATTAAATGTGGAAACTGTTACTCAGAGCCAAATTAGTAATTATTGTCATATCAGTTATTGTCCCATTTCAAAGAACTACTATATTTATAGTAAACATAAAATTAATATTTACTAAAATTAATTGTTTTTTTCAAGACTTTTTATTCCAGTACATTTTTCGTGCACCCAGCTCTTACATTTCATGCACTGGATTATGTCTTTTTGAGAATATTCTTGAAGGTTTGTTTTCTGATTGTTAAAGTTCTTTGTACTATCGAAATTTTATTTTGCTTTGCAGTTTCATTTTAAGTTAAATATTAGTTTTTCTTCTGAATCTCCTTTTTCCGGAAAGATAAAATGAGAGGCATGGCATTTATCTATTAATTATCCATATATTATCAATTAAGATGTTTTCTTTTGGTAGGCTTAAAACTTAAAACGGATTGTGGGCTCATTTTCATCGCGATAGGGTCTGTACAATGACCTTATCTCACAAAGCTGTTCTTAATGTATAAACCATTATTAACAACTTTGTAGCATTAGAAGTTATAAAAAAAGATGGAATGTTTTTTATAAGAATTTTCTTTTGGAAAAAATATCAAAACAATTAATACTATGCGACGGAGCTGTTCGCCGGTGAGCAATGGGTCGTAAGCTAGTGAAAATTAAATTGTGATACTTACGTCTTTATAATATACTGGGCGCCACTATTAAAACTCTTATTATATATATATATATATATATATATATATATATATATATATATATATATATATATATATATATATAATAAGAGTTTTAATAGTGTTATCTGGGGAATATGGCAACGTAGGTAGTACATTAAAATTACAAGAAAGAAAATCCAGAAAAGATCCAGTGGTTGGTTCTCAAAATTTTTTTTTCGAAATTTTCAAAGTAAAATAACTCCGTTATTTTGGACTTATTTGAAAAACGGTATAGAGAAAATATGTTTCTTTTGTCGAGATCTACCAGCCCTGAAAATATTTGCACTTATTTAAGACTCGCCCTGTATTGTTGTCTGTCATTTTACTTCTCAGGAAAATTGAATTTTACGGTCAATCGAAATATGCCCTGTCGCGTTGGATAGACTATATTTAAATATTTTGACCTATAGTCAGTAATTAAGCAAACAATAGGTAATCCATAATTTTTAGATTATCCCTTTAGTATTTGGGTCAACATCAACAACCTTTATTTAATAATATAAACAGTCACACTTACCAGCGTTTTTTGGCGTGTTTCCCATTATTTCGTTTACCCTCTCTCCTGTTTCTTCCCCTTTTCAACCCCGTCCCACGCCCACCGATCGGGAAGCCCGGAAAAATCCGAAAAAACAACTTTTCTCCGCGCACAATTAGGATTTTCCGACACTAATGCATTTAAAGGAGAATAGTAGGGATTCGGAGATCGATTTTCATATTAAAAAGTAAAATAGCTAGCTGTTTACTCGTTCGATAACTTGATTTGCTAGTGATCCATAGGCGTAGGTACAGGGCAATCATCAGGTGTTTCAAACTTTTACCAAAGTATCAACATTTTGTTTTCCCTCATACAATTTTTTAACTTTAATTTTTAATTTAGTAAGAGATACTAAAAATATAATTTACCTACAAATTGCTTAAGAGATCGTCAAAATCGGCCTACTATAATAAAATATATTAATAGTCATTTATATATATATATATATATATATATATATATATATATATATATATATATATATATATATATATATATATATATATATATATATATATATATATATATTAATCGGTTTAAAACGTTCTACGTCTTCCGATGCCATCTCTTCATGCCTGTCTGTCTCTCCATGCACCGTCTCCGAGAGATCTTTCCTCCATAAACGTGTCAATCCCTTCCTGCCAAGTTCTTCTCGGTCTACCCGGTTTTCTTCTTCCTGCAGGTTTCCAGTTTATAATATGTTTTGGGATTCTTATTTCTGCCATTGTTTGGACATGCCCGTAGTTGACTGTTCTTATGTCGTCTCACTATCGTATGTTTAACTTCCATAATCTCTTATGCGTTCATTAGTTATTCGCTCGAGTCTTGATTTGCCTGCTGATCTTCTCCAAAAATCCATCTCTGTAGCTTCCAGCATTCGTTTTGTTGTTTCCTTAATTGGCCAGACTTCACAGCTGTAATAGTGGTTATACTCTTTATGATGGTATTGTATGGGAGTTTTGTTCTTGTTGTTTATGCTTCTGTCCCACAGTATCCCATTCAATACCGTGATAGCATTCCTTCCAAGTTGGTTTCGTTCTTTAATTGCTGTATCCAACAGTCCATCATTTGTGATTTGCTTACCCAAATATTTGTATTTTGTGCAGCACTTAATTTTCTTCCCTTCTTCTAGTATTAGATCTTGTTGTTCTCCTCCGATACACATATATTCTGTTTTATTAGTATTGATCTCGAGTCCCCATTTCTGAGTTTGCCAAAAGCAGCCCAACCCAAACCTATTCTGCGCTGTATCTCGTGTGTTTGGTTGTTCGTTCCGATTTGTATTTCGTGCCCGAGATATTTGTATATATGTGTTTCTTTTATGTCGGCGTCACCTATTCTGATGTTCTGTGTCAGCACTAAGTTTGTCATTATTTGCGTTTTACTCGTATTTATCCGGAGACCGACTTTTAATGAGGCCTGCACTAATTCTCCGAGCATCTGCTTTGAATCTCCGACGTTATCTGAGACAAGGACGATAACTCGATATAGCATATACAAATTAAAAATTAAAAAAATCGAATCGACGAAGAGAATAGTAATGTTATTATTAATTTTAGGGTAAATTATAATAAGAAAATTAATTTACCAGTCGATATTCTGAGAGATTTCTATAAAAAGACCATTTCTTCATTATATTAGACTTGATAACGTCTAGACGAATTTGCAACAGGCTTTCCAAGTCGCATCAAGTGGGTCCGATGTTAAATTGTCAATATAAAATCAATATTCTTCTATAAGCTTACGTGTCATATAATTTATGTCATCGTAATCTTGTGCTATGATCACCTGATCGTCCGTGAAGCAAAGTGTGTAGAGCATGTTATGCCCTATGGGTACTCCCATATTTCTACATTTTTTCTTCCAACCTTTGAGAACTTGTTCGAGATATATCTTGAACAGTGTTGGTGAAATACAGCACCCTTGTTTCAGACCTTTGGTTCCATTAAATCCTGTTGTTAACTTTTTGCCGACTTTTATTCTAGTTTTTGTTTGTTTATATAATGATTTCACTGCTTTTATTAGCTCTACATTTATATTGTTTTTTTCCATAGCTTCCCAAAGTCTCACAAGGGGAACGCTGTCGTATGTCTTCTGCAGGTCCACGAACACAAGGTGTAGCTCTTGGTTTATATTGCCCTTACTAGTCATTTTTTATACAAGACGATAAAATCGTATTTTATCGTCGACCAAAAAAAAAATTCACGAGCGATGAAATCGCGACTGAATTAATTTCGGGAGACGATAATACAATTTTATCGTCGTGTATAAAACAATATCTTTTTCCATAGCGAGTTACGTTTTAAAAAATATTCAAAAATTACTATTTCAAGGAATTTATTACGAGTAGAAAAAATATTGTGCTGGGTTGGCGTTGGTTTCTATGTAATTTTACAAATAAATAATAATAATTCCTCTGCATAAAGGAGGAGACAACGATGAAGCTTCTAACTATCGCCCAATTGCACTCCTTCCAACGCTATCTAAGGTCATAGAAAGGTTGGTTAAAGGAAGGCTGGTATCTTTTCTGTTTAAGTACAAAATACTTACTGAACATCAATTTGGATTTCTAAGCAACAAGTCCACAAATGACACTATGTTTTCCCTCCTTAATAAAGTTTACTCCAGCCTAAACAACCATCATTCTACAGCAACAATTTTCTGTGATTTTTCTAAGGCGTTCGATTGTGTAAATCATAAGATCTTAATTAATAAACTGCAGCACTATGGGTTCAGGGGATCATCTCTCGAATGGTTTAAGTCATATCTGAGCAACAGAAGTCAACTTGTGAGGGTGGATACCACGTTGTCTTCTAGCAAGCCAATAGAATGTGGAGTACCACAAGGCTCAGTACTAAGCCCTATTTTGTTTCTTCTTTTTATTAACGACATTGCTAACATAAACATCAGTGGCAAAATATGTCTTTTTGCGGATGACACTAGCATCAGTTGGAGCAACAAGGACATCACGGCACTTCATAGGATTATATCAAATGACTTAATCACCATTAAATCTTGGTGCAATTCGAACCTCCTAAGTTTCAACATTTCTAAAACTAAAGCTTTGTCGTATAAAAACTCGTTGCAGCTTTTTGTACTTAACAACACCACCATTGACGTCGTCAAATCTGTAAAATTCTTAGGGCTTGTTGTGGACAATTCTCTGAAATGGGACATACATATGGAAGCTTTGTCGGAAAAATTGAGCTCTGCCTGTTTTGCATTAAGGTCTGTTTCTAAGGAGCTTAACTTGTCAGTGGCTAAAACTGTTTATTATGCACTTTTTGAGTCGCACCTCAGGTATGCCCTTCCATTCTGGGGTATGTGTTGTGCGACTCAATTTGACCGCATTTTCAGGCTCCAGAAGAGAGCTGTTCGATATTCACTGGGATTATACAGCAGAACTCATTGCCGGGACTTTTTAAAAAAATAAAAATATTGACTCTTCCTTCCTTATTTATATTTGAATCCGTTTGCCTAATACGTAAACATGTATCAGCTTCTCAAGAAAGGCCATCTCACACTTATCCACTCAGGAACGTGGAGCAAGATCATACCTACTATCATATCTACCTACCACACGCTCAGAGTTAGTTAAAAGTTCAATATTATACAAGTCGAAAAAAATGCACAATCACCTGCCATTTGAAATCAAATCCATAACATCATTTTCTTCATTTCGCAAAGCATTGAA